CTTGGGGGTTTTTTTTCCCCCCCTCCCTTCACAAATCCCTGGGAAGTCAGAGAAGCTGCAGGTCCCAACCTGGTGTGATTCCTGGTGTGAATCCTGCCAGGAATTCCTTCCCCAGCAGAGGGGTTTGGCAGCTCAGTCCCCAGGGCTCCTCTGGAAACCCAAGATTTCCTGGGCAAAGCCCAACTCTGATCCCTCAAATTACCCATTTTACCCCACAATTGACCCATTTGAGTCCCAAATTGGCCCTCTTGAACCCCCAAATGGTCCATTTTCACCCTTAAAAAGCCTTTTTTAACCCTAAAATTGCCCGTTTTGACTCCCTAAATTGCCCATTTTGCCTCCAAACTGCCCATTTTTTGCCCCCACATTGGCCCCTTTGCCCCTCAATTGGCCCCTTTGAACCCCAAAATCATCCAGAAATAGATTTGAAACTCCTGCTGTGAGAGCAACCCCAGGGCTGGACCTGGTGACCTCAAAAGGGAATTGCAGAAATGTGGCAGGAGGGAGCAGGGAAGGAGAGAAATGGCTCAGAAAGGGGGAGAATGACCTCAAAAAAGGGGGAGAAACAGGTCAAAAAAGGGGGGAGAAACAGGTCAAAAAGGGGGGCAGAAACAGCTCAAAAAGGTGGGCAGGAACAGCTCAAAAAAGGGGGGAGAAACAGCTCAAAAAGGGGGAAAGAAACAGCTCAAAAAAGGGGGGAGAAACAGCAATCAGGCTTCCAGTGGGACAATTTGGGGAGAAAAAAAAGCAAATCCATCCCCCAGCTGAAGTGCTCCAGGATCACCCAACCCCATGAAGTGGAGCAGGGAAGGAGGAGTTGTTTTGGTGACCTATTTCTTCCCAAGTGGCAACCTCCCCTTTATCAGAATCATGAATTATTCATGTGGAGCAAGAGGAACACAAACCCTTGGAGATATATATATATAAAATAAATAAATCAAGAAGCCAGTTCAAAAGCCCCATTAGAATAGGAGGGAAGATGATGGTTTTTGTCTCACTGCCACAGTCAGAGCCCAGTCTATTTTCAAACAGACTTGCCAGTTGTTTCCCTATCAGATTCCAGTTTTCCAAGGAACCAGGAGGGGTAGGAACAGTCACATTCAGACTCTCTCAAGCTCCTGCCCAACCCCAGGAATGAGGGAGGCACATCCCTGGTACAAATCCTCCCTGCTCCTTGGCAGAGGTTCCCCCCACAAATCAGGCAACACACTCATCTCAACAAGCAGGAGCAGCTCCAGCTTCTTCCCCAACCCAATCCTGGCTTTGAAGCTGAGATCAGGACTTGTTCCCTGGGACATAAAAAGGCAGGGATGGCTGGAAAACACCTCAGGATTGTTACCTCTTCCAGCACCTCCAATCCCACGACCCTTCTGTTGCTTCTGCTGCTGCATCCCACCACGGCCTCTGCCCTTGGACACCACCTCTTCCTTCACCATGTCGATGATCTCGTCAGGAATCCTCAGGTATTTGATGGTGCTGCCACGGATGTAACACTCAGGCATCCTCCAGAACTTGTCTCCATCCTGTTGGGGAAGCAAAGGAGTTGGGCAATGGACACCAAACTGGGGGGTTTTTTTGGAGCATTTCTGGAATGTTGCCAGCACTTCTGGAGAGCGTGGCTGGTTCTGCCCAGAGTTTCTGAACTTCTTTTTCAATTAGCTGCAAAAAAAACCCACCCCAAAACTCCAGTGGTTTTTCCTCCCCAACGTGGAACCCTGTTGCTGACAACAAGCCTACAAGCTGGGGGAGAGGGGAACTCAGCCACCAGCTTCAGTTTGTTCCCTGATTGCCTGAAGGACACACAGAAAATGAAGGAAGAGGCTGAGGAACCAAGGACTGTATTTTTCAACCTGATCTAGTCAAAAAAAAGGTCCCTGCTCATGCAGGAGGGGGGAGAGGGCTGGACTAGATGACCTGTAAAGGTCCTTTCCAAGCCCACATATCATTCTGTGATTCTATATAAAATGGGAATTGAAAGTGGGATGAGAGAGGTGAGGGTGGGGAAGTTACAAGCAGCTCCAGGGAACCAAGTCTGGCACGAAAAAAGCTGCAGCAAGAGCCGTGAGCAGGGCCTGGATCTTCTCCTCAGCTGGGAGTCACCTCAGCCCTTCCCTCCCCTCTGGGGTGGGGATGGAGCAGGCAGGGCTGGAGCCAGCTGGCTGTGGGGTGTGTGCCACCCCAGCATGGAAACAGCCACTCTGGGGACAAGGACCTCCCAGATCCTTCTGTCTCTTCCAAAGGAAAGGACTGGGCTGTGGCAGAGCAGCCCCCCCTGGGGAAACACAATTCCTGGGCTTTCCTGGTGGGAAGAGGAACCAACAACAACTCAGCGTCTCCTGATGTCACCAGGAGGAGGGACAGGGACCAGGGGGAGGGACCCCACCCCCTCAGCTCCATCTGGGATGGCTGGAACCCAACAATTCCCAAGCAGGCTTCCCAGAGGAGCAGGGCAGCCAAGAACGCCTCGTTCCTCCTCTCCTGAGATACAATCATCGCATGAATTATGTGGAGCAAGAGAAACAAACACCCTTGGATATATATATATATATTTAAAATAAATAAATCAAGAAGCCAGTTCAAAAGCCCCATTAGAATAGGAGGGAAGATGATGGTTTTTGTCTCACTGCCACAGTCAGAGCCCAGTCTATTTTCAAACAGACTTGCCAGTTGTTTCCCTATCAGATTCCAGTTTTCCAAGGAACCAGGAGGGGTAGGAACAGTCACATTCAGACTCTCTCAAGCTCCTGCCCAACCCCAGGAATGAGGGAGGCACATCCCTGGTACAAATCCTCCCTGCTCCTTGGCAGAGGTTCCCCCCACAAATCAGGCAACACACTCATCTCAACAAGCAGGAGCAGCTCCAGCTTCTTCCCCAACCCAATCCTGGCTTTGAAGCTGAGATCAGGACTTGTTCCCTGGGACATAAAAAGGCAGGGATGGCTGGAAAACACCTCAGGATTATTACCTCTTCCAGCACCTCCAATCCCACGACCCTTCTGTTGCTTCTGCTGCTGCATCCCACCACGGCCTCTGCCCTTGGACACCACCTCTTCCTTCACCATGTCGATGATCTCGTCAGGAATCCTCAGGTATTTGATGGTGCTGCCACGGATGTAACACTCAGGCATCCTCCAGAACTTGTCTCCATCCTGTTGGGGAAGCAAAGGAGTTGGGCAATGGACACCAAACTGGGGGGTTTTTTTGGAGCATTTCTGGAATGTTGCCAGCACTTCTGGAGAGCGTGGCTGGTTCTGCCCAGAGTTTCTGAACTTCTTTTTCAATTAGCTGCAAAAAAAACCCACCCCAAAACTCCAGTGGTTTTTCCTCCCCAACGTGGAACCCTGTTGCTGACAACAAGCCTACAAGCTGGGGGAGAGGGGAACTCAGCCACCAGCTTCAGTTTGTTCCCTGATTGCCTGAAGGACACACAGAAAATGAAGGAAGAGGCTGAGGAACCAAGGACTGTATTTTTCAACCTGATCTAGTCAAAAAAAAGGTCCCTGCTCATGCAGGAGGGGGGAGAGGGCTGGACTAGATGACCTGTAAAGGTCCTTTCCAAGCCCACATATCATTCTGTGATTCTATATAAAATGGGAATTGAAAGTGGGATGAGAGAGGTGAGGGTGGGGAAGTTACAAGCAGCTCCAGGGAACCAAGTCTGGCACGAAAAAAGCTGCAGCAAGAGCCGTGAGCAGGGCCTGGATCTTCTCCTCAGCTGGGAGTCACCTCAGCCCTTCCCTCCCCTCTGGGGTGGGGATGGAGCAGGCAGGGCTGGAGCCAGCTGGCTGTGGGGTGTGTGCCACCCCAGCATGGAAACAGCCACTCTGGGGACAAGGACCTCCCAGATCCTTCTGTCTCTTCCAAAGGAAAGGACTGGGCTGTGGCAGAGCAGCCCCCCCTGGGGAAACACAATTCCTGGGCTTTCCTGGTGGGAAGAGGAACCAACAACAACTCAGCGTCTCCTGATGTCACCAGGAGGAGGGACAGGGACCAGGGGGAGGGACCCCACCCCCTCAGCTCCATCTGGGATGGCTGGAACCCAACAATTCCCAAGCAGGCTTCCCAGAGGAGCAGGGCAGCCAAGAACGCCTCGTTCCTCCTCTCCTGAGATACAATCATCGGTTCCAACCCCCCCAACCCCCTCCAAGACACACACCCAGGAGTTATTTGGGGCAATTCTGCCTGTACGGGCAAGTCCCTGGTGCACAAGACGAGACAGAAACAATCCTCTCCCAAAAAGACACCCAGCAAAACCCCACCCTGCCTTGGCTCTGCCTCCTTGGCTCGGGATGAGGGAGGGGACGGAGCCAGAGACTCCTTCGCTTCCTCGTTCCGGTCTCCCCGGAGTAAACAACCCCCTCCCCAGGGCCAGGGCTGCCGTTCCGTGCCATATGGGCCAGTCCCTACCAGTACCACCAGTACGGCGGCTCCAGCTCGGCTTTCACGCGGGATTCGGAGGCGTGTGGGTGTTTTTGAAGGGGCAGGGCCCGGGCGCCCTGCAGGTCCCTCTCTGACCTCGCTCAAGGTGTTGGCTCCATCACACCAACACCCAAACCTGCCTCCCTGCCACCCAGAACCTTCCTCGTGTAGAAACAAGATGGTTTGGGGGGGGGTTACAGAGAGGTGGGGGGTGGGTTTTTATCAGAAGGATGAGAATTTTTTGCCAGGCTGTCTGATATTCCAGGGATAGAGCAGGAAGAGCAGGGATCCACCTGGCTGGGAGGGACAAGAGCAGGTCTTTCTGAGGGAGGTCACACCCTGTGTCAGGATCTTCTGGAGCCCCTTTGGTC